TGTTTAAACTGCCAATTGAAGCTTAACAGCGGCCGAATTAGAACCGATTGATGTTCCATGACCCTCGTAATTAATGTGATTTTATGGTGTATTTACCTGAAAACTGATTGGTATAGATTAAATTAGAAAAATAAGCTAATTAAAGAGTTTGACGTAATTACACTTTTGCCATCTAGTGGGCCTTGTTTACTCATATTTGAAGCCTTGTGTATGCTTTATCAAAACATTTCATCAACCATTCTTCTTGTTTCTAGCCGAATTTAGAGAGAGAGGAAGTGAGAGTCTTTGAGTTCACTTGTAGAATTATTTTGGAAATTGAAGAAATTGTTAAGGAAATTGCATATTTGAGCTACTTCTTGAACTACAAGACTAAAGGTAGCCTCCATTGTCTTCTTGTTCATGTTTGAGTTGATTGTTGCATGGTCCAGGTTAGATTGTAGAGCTAAGTCATGATTTGGGTCATTAATGGTGAATTGAAGCTCATTTCATGCATGCATGTTTGAATTAATGAGTTTTGAGTTGAATTCATGGTATATGGTGCATGCATGTTCATAATTTTGTGGTACCCCCCCATGAGTTAATCTTGTTTTTGAAGGTTTAAGCTCTTTTGAAACAGCATTAAAGCTTTGAAAATGTTTAAGATCATGCATGTTGCATGTTCATATTGTTCTTGGAAAATGGTTTGAAATTGGGTTTAAAATATGGTTTTAATTGACTCACCTTTGGGGCTTGAATTCTAAATTAAGCTTTGAAACTTGTTATACATTGAATTTAGTTATGTTTCCAGAATTTGGCGCCCAAGAGGTCGAGTTTGGAGTGGTAGAAATGCTGGTTTGAGCTTGGGAGGCAAATCTGGAAAATCCAGATTGGCTTCCTCGCTCGAGCAGAAGGATTCCCCGCTCGAGCGAGCACCTTTGTCCAGGGCTCCGTCGAGCGACCATCGAGCGACCATCGCGCGCAAAATCGCAGCATCCAGTATTTTTACTGTTTCGACAGACCGCTCGAGCGAAGGATTCCTCGCTCGAGCGAAAGCCTTTGATTTTGGACTTCCGCTCGAGCGAAGAAAGTCTCGCTCGAGCGAGGCTCCTATTTTCAGCAAAGTTTGCAAAATGTTTTCTAAGTGTATTTTTGCATCCTCATCCATCCTAGGCATTCTTAGGCCTAGTTTAAGACATCTTGATGAGGATATCGTTGTAGAACACCACCAAGGCAAATTAGGATTAAGTTATGATATTTCCCAACTGTGTAGCTTAGTGTGTTCAACCTATGAACTGTGTAGGGTTGGCGACTGGGGAGACACACTCTAGCATACCGATAGCCCAAACTCTGTGAGTAACAATTGTGTAAAGATATGTTCAACTGATATCTTTTGAATACTGAACTGAACGTTTACTGAACTGGATACTGAATGAATGTATGTCCTTATTTTCTGAACTGTACTGTGGCATCCTTAGTACCTACTGTTTACTGTTACTGTTACTGTTACAGAGATCTCTGTCGGTTCCCTCGTGGAACCACTACTGTTTACTGACTGATGGCCATCATTACTGTTCGGTCTTTTAAGCCTACTGTTACTGTTATGCTAAGGATGTACCACATATGACTGTTTGGCTGTACTGAACAACTGAAATACTGATTGAATTGAACTGTTTTCATTACTGTAAGGAATTCATTCTAAACCCCTTTACGCTTTATGTTATACACTGGCTTAGCTCACTGCTCATATATATATGTAGGTGTACAGGCACCAGATCGGAGCTAGGAGCGTCAGGTTAGACTCCATTTTGTCAAGCCAGCCTTTTGCCCACTGCGAGTTCCGAGTTGCCATGCTATGGCTTTGGGGTGTTTTGTTTTTTCCCCCGTCTGTCTCCATACTGTTTTGGATTACTGTATGACTGTCAGTTGCTAACTGTACTGTTATCAAGGGATTAGGTCCCTGTACGTGTGACTGTAAATTTTGTATAGACTGTACTGTTTGTATATGTATGAATGCATGAAAAATCTTTTTGGCATACAGACTGTCAACAGCTCATTGGACATTGTTTTACTGTATTGGCTTCCAGGCCCTGTACTCTGTTTTAACTGTATTACTGTTAAGCAGGCCTTCGGTAATCTCGGATTACTGGCCGGTTACGGTGCTAAACCCATAGGCCGGGTTTGGGTCGTGACACCCCTGGCACGTACGAACCTTCAAGAATGTGCCACAAGTGCTTATAGTCCCCTGGCACGTACGACTTCAAGAATGTGCCAAAGTGCTTATAGTCCCCTGCACGTACGACTTTCAAGAATGTGCCACAAGTGCTTATAGTCCCCTGGCACGTACGGACTTTCAAGAATGTCATCAAAACAAAGCTTATTGATAACAACAAAATAGGGGTAATCATTCATGCTTAATCAAATGCTTTCATAAAAAACGAAACAAGGCTTTATCAAATCTTTATAACATAACTTTATTAAAAATACCATTCACATAGTTCTCGGGAGTCGGGATCAAGGCAAAGGCCGAAGTCCTACAAACACATGGCAGAGCATACTGAATGCACTTCTCAAAACAAGTCTTCATGCTTGCAAATGATCTCGGAAAAATGCTGGAAGTCAAAACACTGTTTTACATGCCAAGAAGACATGCTGGGTACCAACCAGGTCCTTGCCGAGGTCCCACCCGGCCGA